GGATGACTAGGCAAATTAATACACAGTGAAACTGGAAACTGCAAATAGAAAAGAACAACTGGATGTCCAATAGTAAGGATCCAGAGAAAATACAAACAAGTGCCACCTTTTGCCCCAGACACCTTGTGATCTTTGTACTCCCAAAGTTATTAAAGCTTCCCGAAAGTTGTCTCTAATTGTTCAACTGATACCCATTTTTTTCTTTTAAGCTCTCCTCTTTGGCACAGAGCACTGCACATAATGGAAGACTGAGGCATCCAGATGCACTCTAAAGCGTTAGATGATACAGCATTAAAAAAACATTATAAATTAATGTATTTCATGAACATGCAGGTAGAAGCTTTGTCACTATCCAAGGCATGTTACAACTTTTCTCTGGAGTGCACTACAGTTAGATGAAAGAAAATCCTCTTCCAAGGGATCTGGAGTGAATGTCTGGCACTCAGGGATGAATTCTGCCTTCAGACTGTATCTTTATAAAAGGTGTGGCATTGAGATTAAGAGAATTGTCTCCAACTTTTCAGTCATACCAATTTACAAGCTACAGAACAAGTAATCACTGAATTGCTTGAAAAGTACTTCAATGGCTTAATGAACACTTCAGATCAAGGACCCCAGACAAACTCTGTGGTGTAGGAGAAACTAGTGAAACACTGCTAAACAAACAAACCCCAATCTATTTGCCTCCTGCCCTGATGCTGCTTTATTAGGATCAAACTTGCCCTTTGAGAGTCTGACCTAATAGGTCAATCCCAGCTTGAGAAAACAGGGACTACAACACATTCCTGGAAACTAGTCTCACACTGTTGTGGCTAACATGCTCATCAGACAGCAGTTAGATCTGAGTATTCCCACTCTGAGAGAAGCATGTGTGCAGCCTTGTCAGTGTGCCTCTATTCTATCTTCTTATCTCTCCCTGGGGTTGATCCTTTTCCTCAAAGACAGCTGACTGGTTATGGCAGTAACTGCAGCAGCCCTTCCCACTTGCCTTCCCTGATGTTTTCTAGCGCACTAGTAAGGTGTAGAGTATTACTATAAACCAGAAGAGTGCTAACTGAAATCAAGAAGCCTTGATTTTTCTGGATTTAGTACTTGTTCTCCCTTCTGAAGTGACCTACTGTTAAAGGGATCTGTAATATGTAAAAACTGAGAAAGCTGGGACCTGCCTACCTTTGTCCTGAGAAACCCTGTAAGTGAAAGGGGCTTTTACAAGAAAGCCAGAGAGAGAGACTTGTTATCATGGCCTGTAATGACAGGACAAGGGGCAACAGTTTTAAACTGAAAGGTTGTTGATTCACGTTGGACGTAAGGAAGAAATTTTTATCATTATTATTATTATTTATTTTACAGCAACGGTGATGAGACACTGGCACAGGTTGCCCAGAGCAGCTGTGTCTGCCCCCCCCTGGCAGAGTTCAAGGCCAGGTTGGATGGGGCTTGGAGCAACCTGGTCTAGTGGAAGGTGTCCCTACCCATGGCAGGGGGTTGGAACTAGATGGTCTTTAAAGGCCCCTTCCAACTCAAATGATTATGGATCTATCATTCTAACATGAAATTCTACCTTGGGCACAAGTGATAATAAAATAAGTGATCATACTGGCCACATCCAGGTGTTCTCCTTCCAAAGGGTTTCTTCTATTGGCAATTCCAGATTTAAAGACATATCAACTACCCTAAAGTCAAAACAGCCAATGCAAGGTCTTAAATTTCCAAGCTCTGGTCCTAGTGAGAACAGATGTTTTTTCTCTCAAGAAGGTTGTTCTTCCTCACAGCACCTGCTAAAAGAATTTCAGTTCACATTTTTCAGAAGACCTGAAACACTTCACAGCCCCTCCCCATTATTTGCTGTCATCCGGGGTACCACTGTACTTTATCAATGTCAGAGTGCACCACTGGATAAAACAAGACAGTTCCAAAGCACCTCATACTTTTCGGGGGGGATAACTTAGTTACACAGACAAAGCCTTTTTTCCTTCTGTCTTTTCCACGACCCTCAGTCTCCTTTCTTGCCTTTAGCAACAGAGATACTTAAGTCAGTTTAACAGTTCTCATACCCATCTCGCTTTTGTGGTCCTGCCCTACTCCTGTGTTTGTGCCAAAACAGCAGTGCGTGTGTGGTCATGGGATGAACGAGATCAAGGAAAAAGACTAGTTAAAAGAGAATTTTTGCAGGGTTTTTTTCCCAAGCAGATCAAATTCCCAACTTATTACATGATCCAGCTGCACACACAGCTATCACAGCCAGGGTACAAAGACAAAGCTGCTTAATATTAGCACTGCAAATGAACTGCTGTAAGGAGAAGTGGGGATGTTTATAGTTGTTTTCCTAGCAACGTTCTGCTGCCCAAACCAGTATTATTTCACAGACAAGCATCAGCAAAATCTATTATAAACTTCGTCCATATAGATCCTTTTTAAAGCTGAGAAATTCTCTACAGACAACAATTATGTGAATACCACTACTCCCTTAAGACCATGCTCCAGTTCACCAGAGCCAGCAAATCTTTCACTGCGAAGGGAAGGGCTAGAGAAATCAGGATGTGCGCTATGTCAAAGATACAAGCCACTGTCAGGGAGAAATGCAGCTTTGAGAGTGGATTAGAAGCCCTATTTTGGTAAAGCAATTAGATAAGTGGTGATGGGATATCTGTTCTCACAAATGTCGTCTTGTCGTTTAATCCAGTGTTATAAAAAGTAAGCATGGTTGAGCAGTGCCGTACAGATGTCAAACTGCCCTAGCTCACACAATTTTGGGGCTCACAAGACCTGTAGCATTTGTTGACTCTGAATCAGGGCAGAGAACCACCAAGTAACACAGTGAAGGGGATCACAGATTAAGGTAACACTGGTAAACAATGCCACAAGTTAGACTGCCTCATCAAACATAGAGGAGCACCAGGCTCATGTGATATGGGATGAGTCTTTTGGAAACTATTTCAAATAAAAGCAAAGTGACAGCCAGAACTGTTTGGCAGAAAGGGGCAATAGAAGAGGGCAGAATTCAGGACAAGTTCCCAAAATACTGGAAAGCGGTGACTTTTTTTTTTTTTAAATACAGGACATTCTTTTGCTTCTTGCTAGAAGTTAATACACAAAAATACTTGCCTTTATATAAGAGGACCGTTACTTTTGCTAAGGCTATGACTACGTCATACAATACAGTTCTAGCTATCACCACAATGCTAAATGGTAGCTACCAACATCTTCCAAAGGGGCAGCACATTTACCTTTCAGAAGTCCTCTCTGGACCCAACAGGGAGGAAAAGCGCTACACAATGAAAGTGTACCACCTCAGAGGCACTCCTGAAGAAATAATGGAAGGATCTTGTGACTATGAGAGTAACTGTCAGTCTGAATCTAGGAGCACCCATGACGACATGCAAGAGAAAAGAGCAGGGAAAGTGACAAGAGCAAATCCCCACTGTTCAGCCCTCTGTGAATTCCATAAGCAGAAACGCAGAGAGTTGTTCCAGAGCACAGGCAAGCTCTGCTAGTTGATTTGCTGAGACAGATTTACTCACAGGTTACCTCCTGCTGCCCACAAAGCACTTCTTCACTGTTGGTACCCATCCCACCTTACAGTTTAGGTCAATTCGGAGGTAAGGATTTGTTAGGCAGGAAAGGACGCTCATTTCACACTGCCTATGTTGACTGCTCACAGCTGGTACCTGGCTCATAGTACTGACAAGTTGGAGCTTTGTACGTTCAACATACTTTGCCAGAGCAGCAGGTATGTTATCAGGCACTGACCTGTGCTCGCTGCCAAAGCCCACCACGCTGCTAGGCCTACATCCACAACGGTGTGCAGCTAAAGAATGCAACAGTATCCATCCCAAACAGCCACTTCAGACTGTTTCAAAAAGCAGAGACCCCTTTTTTACATACTTTTATTCCAAATCAGGTTCGCTTCAGGAAATTCTTCCCCTTGAAGCGAGCACGAATCTTTTTTTAAGTGGTTTTCCACAAACTTTTTTTATTACCACAAACATCTGACTGTGTGAGAAACATACCAAGAATAAAAGAAGGTTGCTTTCTTTAAGGAATACGTTTTTCTCAAAAATGGCACATAATAAATGGGTAGCAGAAAGATTCAATAACAATAAAATTTAGCAGCTTCACGAATTCCCACTTCCCTCTTTAAAAGGAGTATCTTTAAAAATTACCAGCCAGGCAAAAAAATTTAAAAGAAGTTGAAATTCTTACAGAAGCCTAATTGTTCATTTTTTTAAAAGAAACAATTAAAGAAGTTGTAAAATGAAAAACCAAAGGCAATAAAACACCCAACTGAAATGATAAAAATAACTGGTGAAGCAACTACTGTACAGTGAATTCAGCAAAATTGCTGTAGCTACTAGAGAACTCTCACACTGATGAGTGTAGAGGAAGGGATATATGTAGGATATATGTAATACTGGTTTCATGTATAACTACTTTGTTGTTTCTTAAGTCTACCTATCACAATTTAAATCACTCCAACAACATATTTCTTGCACAAAGATACTGTATTTGTATAAATTAAGGTCCAAACAATATATAAATTAGGTTCTAAACGGTAATTCTTATGCTTCAGTAGCAAAGTTTAAGGATGGCAGGAACCATGCCTTCTTTTCTACAGCCATGCATGTTTACAAAAGATCTTTAAGAGTCATTGCAGGTGCCTTTTTCAGCAATTTGCAGGGGAAAAGGCTGTGGATGGAAAGAACAATGACATGCTAGGGGGAAAAAAAACAAATATGATTTTTACTTTAAAGAATAATAAGCGACAGTATTCAAGATGCAATAACTGAAGGCACTGGTGGAGAATACATGCATTTTTCTTCCATATAAGATTTCTGTTCTCTCTGGCTGAAGGCAGCATTCAAATGCTTTCACTTTTTAAGCAGTAGCCATTTCCATATTTTGCGGAGGAGGAGTTTGCTTTCAAAGACAGATTTGATACACTCAGCATGCACCACAATCCACACAACTGGACACAAACCCACTCCTTTATGTAAACGTACCTTTAACAGTTTTGACAAAAACTTGTTTCTCTTTACTGGGGTCTTTTTCTTCTATTAGAATCCCATGGAAAATGCGCCCAAATGTGCCTATGAAGAGAACATAGTTAGTATTATGTGGTTAAAATACACTGACAATGTTGAGAGAGTATCTATTAAGAAAACGCTAACTTCAAATGTATCAGCCACAGCATAAAGTTAGGAACTACGGCAGCTGAAGCCTAAGTCCTGAATGCCCTGTCAAGTCAACACTATATAACCCAACCACCGCTCCAACACCAGGTGGATTCAGAACTATATGCAGTAAGTGCTGAAAGTTTTAGATAACTAAAACGTAGGGGGACGAACGTAAGAATGAGCTAATGACAGCAGCAGAATCCACTAAAATTAAGACAATACTGATGATCCGTTTATTGGTGGCAGTTCAGCCTTTGTCACCTGTCTGTACTAAGAACTCCAGCTCCATCTTTTTCTCATCCAGCCAGTCTGGAATTCTCCAGTCAAAACATTTCTCACAAAGATGACTTTTTTTTAAAATGTTCACAAGGAAACACCATTTTCAGCCAAGCAGTACACATGGAACAGTTTGAAAAACAAACAATATCACCTCAACTGGAAGGTGCTGGCTTTGTTTGGGTTTGGGTTTTTTTTTTCAGTCTCTCCAACATTTTTCCATTCCCAAAACTTTAACAATGCTATTGCAGGAAGAGGAGCTATATTGAACATGTTACTTCTGCCTCGCTCTCCTCCAGGCTTTTTACAGATTATGCTGTTTGTATTATTCCACACTGGACACTGAAGCCATTTCTCTACTTCACCAGGAAATGGTAACAGTCCAATTACTGTTAACATCTGCTCCATTTGCTAAAGCATAGCTATTCCATATAGATTTTTTTTTTAGACACACCCACATTTTTGTCTTACATCTCATACAATATGAGCTTGAAGCAGGCTCAGAATCAGGTGCTGTGCAAGCCCACAGCACAAAAAGCCCCTACGGATCCCTCTTCCTTTGCGCAGTCTCAGACATGGTGCTTTGCATTCTCTAACTGGTTACACCACACCAAAACCATAATCTCCTGAATTATTAAAATACGTTAAATTATGCAAGCTACTTGAAATTTACAATGAATCTCTGGCCAAGATCTGTAAAAGATGTTTAAGTTCCATTGTCAGCACTTACGAATTCTTGAAAATTTTATGCAGACATTGCTATTATTTGCTTCTCCTCTGAAGCTCTTTTGTTCTTAGATGACAAAGGCTTTACTCTGCTATGATCCTGATCTAAAATTGATGATTGTTCATCAGGATCTGTGTTCTAGTCCTCTGGCTCACTTTTGAAGGTTTTGACAGACTCAAATAACAGCTGGAGGCCAAGAAACAAGATTCCAGGATTAACCGGGTCCACATTGCATTCGACAGCCCTTTAAGCTGCATCTCACGCAACAGAGCAGCTCTGTCACTCGGTGCTGAACATCTGAAGCATAGCTGCAACACTGAGTCACCTCTACTCATCGGCTGACTCCTAACATCACAGCTGCAGGCAACAGACAGTACAAAGGAACACAAAGCACTGTCCCACACGCGAAGGAAGCTTTTTGCTAGAACTGGACACTGGAGTTGAGCACAAAGCTACCTCCTTAGAGACTGAGAGGCATACATTAAATGGGGAGAGTTAGCATCCTCCCATTGTCTTTCAGACAGTAATCCAAAGCATTTAGCAGTTCTACCTCCAAATGATGAGTATCTCAGATCTCCAGCTTTGGAAACTTTGATTTCTCCTGAGGCTCAGGGAACACAGACTTGGAAGTTGCAGCAGTAAAGATTAATGACAAAAACCCATAAGTATTTTAAATCTATTTCCCAAATTCAGTATCAACAAGAACCAGTTAATGTTGTGCATGAACACTTCCGAAGTAAACACTGAACAGCACAAAAGTATCAGGTAATCTCTGAATTTTTCGTACCAGAGCTGTAAGTGATGCATCTGCTGATTAGATTGCCAAATCAGAAGCTATCAAATTGAAGCAATGAGTTTAGACAACTGAGGTTTTTGCAAGCTTTGGGGTTTTTTTTTAATCTTGATTATTTTTTTTTCTGTTAAGAGAAGCTCTCCTGTAGTAACTCACAAAAGCGAGTTACTTTGCCACTTACAGGCCCAACTGATTATCTCATTCCTTAGCGATCTAACCCTTTCCTTTAAATAAAGGACTAGATTACTAAGGCAGACAAGATGAATGATTTACTGAGCATGACTAGTTGCTCCCCCCTTCTAATGATTTCTGGAAACTGATTTCCACACACACCCCCCCCACCCCAAATGCAAACGTCATTCACCATTCTTCTCCACCAAAGTTACAAAGATCAGAAACACCATCCATGATTAATTTCAGAAAAATCTAGCTATAAATATATATATATACACCATGTTGTAGCCAACAAGTGTCCGAGTCCTGTAAATACCTTCTTGGAGCACATCTTTTAGTGTTATCCTCTCCCTGGAGATTGCTATGTCCTTCACTTTAGCTTTTGCTTCCATTAGAGTGACACTTTTAAGATCATTCTTCTCTATCCGTAACGTAGGATAACCTGAGGAGCCAGCAGAGCCAAACAAACCAATATAAATACCCTTATAATGAGAACACAAGCACATCGCTTCACCTCAGCACCACCTACAGGTCTGAAGACATACAAGCAGAATGTTCTTAAAAAGATTATGTATTAATCTTAAAAAGATTACAGTATTAAACAACAAAAAAAAAAACAGCAAAGAAGTCACGTGAATATAATCACCTGCGGGAAAAAAAACCAAAATCACACAGGAATTCTATATAATGTCATGTGATCAAGTCTCATTATCAACAGCAAGTAAATGAAACTTCTTACATACTGAAGCCCAATGACGTGACGCTGCACTTCCCTGTCAACAAGGAAATAAAGACCACGGTCAGAGACTGTCTGTCAGAAGACTTGTTGGGGTGAGGAAGATGCCTTTCCCCAGCGTGATGTGATCAAACTCACCAGTGCCCTCTTCTGGCACTTCTAGACATTGAGATACACTAATACAGTCAGAAAGGCCAGAATATTTTTTGGTAAGTTTATGAATTATTGGAGAAATCTTGAGAATTACCTCAATGATTTTTTTTAATTATTATTTAAATGTTATTAAAACCAAAGTTAATATGACTGTGGAAGGACTAAGAACGTTCTTCCTGTTTATTTCGTGCATCCAACTTTTTTTCCTTCTTATATCCATTTTCACCATTTCCTGTGCTACGGGGGTGTCCCAAAACAGGTAAGAGATATTCTGAAACGACAAAGACTGAGCACAGCAAATAGGTGCCATTTAAACAGAGCAGCTACCATGCTCATCAAGGTGAGGAGAGTTTAATCATCACCGTGGACTTGGTCCTCTCTCTTTTTGCCAGAGGTTTGGTAATGAGTTTCCAGGGGTCATATTCAAATTAACCAGATGGTGCCACTTAGAGGGCCAACCTAAAAACCTGAGGTTGATAGGACATCAACAGCACAACATGATCTGGGAAAAGAGAAGGAAAATAAAAAGGCTGGGGAGGGAGTTCAGGTAGCAAGAGAGAAAACAGGTCAAGAATTAGTTGCATGCTAAGGTCTCTTCCAAACTCCGTGAAAAGGATTTTTTTAGTATTTTATATATATTTATTTATTTTTATATTAATGCTTCTACTAAATAAGTTTTAAGGGGCTCTCTCTGCAAGTGAAAGATGAACTTGGATGACAAAAGGATTGTGGTGGGGTTTTTTTTAGGGAGATACAATGCAATCTAGAAGAAAGCCAAAACTTTCCCAAAGCTGCAGTTCAAACTGAGGTAAACTGCTTCCACATGTGGAGAGGAAACAGGGAAACACAGTAGGGCTGAGCAGTAAACATGACATTTTTACAGCGCTCCCTCATGATTTGGGATGGTCAGTATCACTACTAAGTGCAATCAGAAGACAAAGGGAGAGACTTTTGGGTCTTATTGGTTGCTTTAACAACCAAAAAAAAAAATCAAGTCATTAATCATTATATCACCTAGCTCTAGGTAACATTGACATTCTCTCATTAGATGGCTACATCAAGTTTCTTCAGGCATTTAATACAAAACTCAGTGATCTTAAAGGTCTTTTGCAATCCAAATGATTCTATTGAGCACTAGGGAAGAGAAAAGTCACTGGTGGCAGCAGATGAAAACAGGAGACATTCAATTTAGACTTTGTGAAAAGGTCCGGAGCGCCAGGATACTATTTGAGCTTGGCAGTACCCACTCTGTTGAGAAAAACAGCAATTTGAATTTAACAGAGAGATAGTTCGTTCCTCTGGCTGGGCTCCCCCATTTTTCTCACTTCATAATACAAACCCTTACCTCACTTTAGATCTTTTAAAGCAGACTTTCCAGCAGCAGCTTAAGCCAATTGAGTTTGGGCTAAGTCTTGCTTTCTTCCAATGCTCAGCCATGTAGCCCCATACCCTCTAAGCACCAATCTTGATGCTCACACAGCAAGGCTACAAGCCAGTTCAGAGACCCGAGTCAATGAAAAACCCATCACTCTACAAAAGAGGGCAGCTTTCGGCTGGCTTAGCTCCCTTAATTGTCCTACAGCCTAGCAGCGCAAGCATCAGCACAAGCGAAAGGCTTGTGATCAGTCCGAGACTGAACAACTAAAAACTGCACACCAAGCATGTCCCTGCACTGTCCAGCTTCCCTACAGTCTGAACAGTCCCTTCCCTGGACTGATGCTATATGGGATATCCCTCCACTAGAAAAGACAGACAATAACTGGAGGTTAAACATTCCACAGATAATAAATACCCTCAGTAATTACAGGATTAACACAGAACATAGCTAGTATCATTACCACATCAGTCTATCACAGAGTATATAAACAACTGCCACCTTTTCTTTTAATTCACTGCTCTTTTTAACTATTTCATGTTCTTTCAAGCAAAGCTGTAAACAAAAAGAGATCATGAATGTATCATCCTTGTAAAGCTTTTTCCCCATCTATTCCTATTGCAGGTTGCAGCAACAAGGTGAAAAGAACATAACCATCAGTAACACATGCTGATGACAGTGCTTGCTTTGGTCTCCACTCAGTAACTAACTCTAAGGCTAGGTGGGTATTTCCGCTTGCTGGTATCATTTTCAGCTCTATACCACCCTCTGCTTGAACTGCATAAGGCACCTTCTTTCCAGTGTTAAGAGAACAGATGCTTCACAGACACTGGTGAAACCTTTCTAGCTGACGGATCTACGTGCGGGGAGAATATCCCGTCGGACAAAACACACTGTCGGGCTCATGTGATGACTCCTGGGCCTCAGTACTAAGGAGGCCTCAATCTTGACTACAGCACGGCTGGATAAAACCACACACCACCTGAACACAAGATGCAAACTGACAGGGCCAGGAGATTATTCACGCTCTTCTCTCCCACTTCATAGTAAATCGGTGCGACCCCTACCACCAAATACTCCAGCTGTGTTCAAGAGGGTCTGTTGCAAGGGACTAATTAGATTAACACTTACTGGTTACTGGCGTTGCGTTGTTTGGCGTGTCAGCTCGTAAGTACTGTGTTGTCTGTGTGGAAGGCTGGGATAAACCTTGCGAGCTACTGCTGTCGCTAATGCTGTTTTAAAACAAAAATGGGCATGAACATGACTGCTTGCCACAGTTTCAAAATTAACTTGAAGTTAAAACCAGAATATTTTCCAGGCTAGGCTTTGAAACAACAACATTTTTAAAGTCTCTTGCACATATTAAAATGTATTTCAGGTAACTCAAAAATCTCAGCACTTCTGTCCTTTCAGTGCGAACAACTTCCTCCCATTTGTTTGGCCAAATTTGTTCTACTTTCCAGTACTTTTTCCCCATTTTTGACAAATCAAAGTGACAAAATATTTATCGCAAGAACCACCCTGTCATACCAGAAATGACAGAAATCCTATATTCCAGAGAAGACTTGTATGCACTTGTTTCATGGTACCAACATCCCACTGAGAATCCTTGATGACTACAAAAGTTTGAAAGCAGCAGCCTGAGCCAAACAGAGAGGTACCTGTAACACCCTGTAAAGCTTCACTAGCTTTTTCAGCCAGAGTGACCTCCTCTTGCTTGCTCTGGGCATACCAGCTGCTTCCTCTATCTGCTGCCCTTTAGCTCCTGGGCTGGAGCAAATATCTAAAAAGATACTCCCTAGTTCACTGTTGCAAACAGTTGTTCGCCCTGTAGCACTGTACCTGTCTCAGCTCTTTTACAGACCAAACTGCCCTACCCAACTTTGTCATTCTCTATCTAAGCATAATTGTTGCCCCTTCCAGGGCCACCTACAATGTGCTTTTGAGATATTTTCTTTGGGTAAAGGACCACAGCTGCATGCAGTATTCAAGAGACAGGCAAACCATAGCTTAAATCTCAGCAAGATGCTTTCTGTCTTATCCTCTTAGACAAAATCCTACAAGAAAAAAAAAAAAAAAAGTTGTAGCTATAACAGCCTAAGAACAGGCAAGAAAGCTTGCAGGCAAAGGCAGTACCTGTTACTAGCTCAGATAGCAGGACCAGACAGAGCTGCTTTGATCTCCCTCCCAAACACACACAAACATCCCCCCTCACCCTTTTTTGAAACTTAAGAGCTTCTCCACTTCTGCTGACTGTATTGGGAGAACAAAGAGGAGACTGGTTTTGGGTATAACCCTCTGCCTTGCCAAATAATCAACACTGCATTTGCTTTCTGAGAACTGACCAAGCAGTGCCAGCCATCCCTGTAGGATTTTTAGACATGCTTTGTGATGCCCTCAAGGACCACTGTTAGCTTTGAAGCAAGACTTCCTTTAAAAAAAAAGTCAAGTCAACTCTTCCCCATTATACCGTAATCACAGAGGTACCTGCAGAATTTTTTCTTTAGAATAGACTCTACTAATTCTCACAATATAAACATCAGGTTTACTGATTTATAGCTGGCCTCAATCTCTCTCTGGAAACCTTTTTTTACTGTTACTCCCATATTTACTGTCTTCCAGGTGCAGGGTTTCAGCACAGTTTTTAGCATGAGGTTAAAAGTCACAGCTGGGGGTCCAGCTACTCTTCTTTAACTTCCTTTAGAGTTTTTGAATTAATATTTTCTGGTGCTGGCAACTTATTACCGCTTATTTTAACTGTTTGCGCTAGCGCATCTACAAGCTGCTTCAATATGATCCACTCCCTGGCAAGTTCCCTAGAAGAAGTGTCCTGTTATGGTCACTGCATTAAGCACTGATGCAGAACTTGCATTTTGTTTTCCTGCTATGGCTGGAAACTCCTTTTGTAACTTGATCACTTACTAGCCCTATGGATTTCTTTGGCTGCCTTACTGATGCAAGCAAGTTTGAAAAAGGAGTTATTCTTTTTATGCCTGTCGCAAGTCTGAAAAACTACCTTTTTGGCTGGCTTCATTCTGTTTTTCAGGTTTAACTTGCTCATGTTTACGAGCCACCTTAGTTTTCTCACTTGCATACTACATCAGCCTTTTAAATGATGCCTTCTTGCTTTTAATAACCCCCATTATCCTGCTGTTAAGCCATGCCAACTTTCTTTGGCACTTTTTCAAATGCCTTTGATAGGAGGTATGCAAGCATCTGAACTTCCAATATAATGTTCTTAAATAGTCCATCTGAAGCCTGTAAATTCAGCTGCCTGGTTTTAGCTTCTGTTTAACAACCTTCCTCAATTTTATTTAGTTCTGGTGTTTGAAATTAAGAGCAACAGCAGTGGGGTTTTCAGCTTCTGTTGCTCCTGGGAGGTCGTTAACCCTAGCGACGTTATCATTTTTGATTCAGAACGCCTTTACGGCAATGTTTTCAGCTTGTTATTCAAAACCAAATGAAAAGTTGTTTCTTCTCTCATGAATTCCTTGACTAGCTGCTACATCAAGCAATCACCAACAGTATGTAATGCTAGTGCATAACACTGAGGCTAAATTATAACACTGAACCAGTTTCTCAATCAAGCACTTGAAACATCACCTCACGGTCCCTTTGCTGGCTCCAGTGCATGCTGCCCGTTCTGAACGCAAAATTCCCCAGATCCCGACTTTCAGGCACATTTTGCCTCTGTTACACCTTTGCTCTGATGCCAGTTGACCACAGCTCTTACCCAGGAGCGCACCCAAGGTTTGGCCAGGTCAGGCACGTCTGGGCTCAAAAAGCAAGCCTTCACATGGCTCTCTAAAGAACTAAATCCCACTACCTGCACAAACTTCATGGAAATTATCCGAAGGCCATACACTGATTTAGAGGAAATTTTTTAATACCTGCAAACCCCAGAGTATCAACATTACATGAATTTTTAGCTCGTATCTCCACAGAAATCAAGTACAACGGAGTGGACAAAAGGACATTCGATCACACTCCTAGGCTGAGACGATCTCTCAAAAACTCATAGATGACACTTCACACACTCTATAAATGCAATACTTTTCCTTTCTGAACTAAAGCAAGCTGCACATCCTTTAACACCTTCTACTGATTAAAAACCCTCAGCAGACAATTAGGCACAAATGAACTGAGGAGATCTAAGTCATTTGGTTAGATAGTCAGGCCTTGAGAAACCATTGCTACTTACTACACTGACATCCCCCCAAAAAACAAGTGGTTAGGGAACACCAGAGCAGTAAATGGCAAAAAGAAAACCAGAAACAAACAGATGAATGGATAGAGAGGAAGACAAAAAGATAGAGCTACTCTGAGAGGCTGCAGGCAGGAACAGAAACAGTTCAAGACAACGCTTCAACAGGGGCGACCACCCACGGGCCTGACTTTTCCAAAGTATTCAGTTTCAAAACTGCCTGCTTCTGAACAGTTGCATCTGATGCAGCTTGTTCACACAGCCTCAGCAGAGCCTCAGTCCACCTGCTTTTCCAGCCTCCCTTCCACCTTGGTGTTTAATCCCCACTCAGCTGACCATATTGCCCTTGGGTTCACGTTACAAGTCCGTTTCACATGCATGTGCCAATTTGTTTTTTCTGGATTGAAAAACACAGTTGGGAGAGCACCACATTTTCAGCCTTATAACCAAGCAGTTGTAATCCCCAGACTTCACCCTTAGGCCAAAGTGAATACTGATAAATCAATCAAAATAGAGAAAACTGAAATTCAGTCTCTTGTAGAAGTCAGTAAAACACAAATATTTTCAGTGTGCCCTGATATCTATCAAATTTTCCTTCAATCCTGACAATCCCTGTAGATCTGATTCTGGCTAAATTTCCCCACTGTGTGTCCTCCACACAAGTATTCTGGCAAAAACCCAAGAGCCACAACCCTCCCACCCCATAAACAGCAGAGTACCTGCAACTGCTGCCTTTCTGCAATACAGCACTTACCATGACTCTACACAGACAGTAATTGCAACAGCTTGAAGTCAAGAGCAGAAATTGTACTACAGAGTGCTTATTTTGAGAGCAGAATTCCCAAATTTGAGCAAACGTGTCCCAAAAACGCACCTCAACAGCTTGAATACATACCTGTCATCCAACTCTATCCTCTTCATGCTGTGGAGATGCAAGACAGCTAATATTATTGCCACCAGGAATATAACAGCACAGCACACGCCTACACTGATATAAAACACACGGGTAGAAGTGGTGGGAGCTGCGTTTACAGGATCGACTGAAATAGAAAGGTGAAAAGTTACTGAATCTTTCTCAAAAAAACAACACAAAAGAAAAAGGAAACAAAACCAAACCAAACCAACCCCACAAATAGTATTTTGTTAGTTCCCAGCATGCTGATGTGTCAGGAGCGCAGTGCTGCTGTCCCCAGCCCTGCCCCCAGTGCCCTGCCACCCAGGTCCAGCAGGAACAGGAGCCAGCCTGCTGAGGCAGACCGCAGTAACCCCCAGAATAGTGGGTACCACAGTTCCTGCTGCAGCAAATCAGGGCAGGGCCCAGCAAGGCACTCGATGCCTCCATCTATTTACTGGGACAAAAGGAGGGTTCCTACTGAAGGATAAAAGCTAGCCAGGAATCTCCCAAAATGGTCTTGTTAGTCCTGCTGGTTCTACCTCGCACAACCCCTTGACCCTCCTCCACAGCTTCCATGCTGCAAACACAGTAGGAGCACAGACAAACCTGGCCTCCAGCTCAGCTGAGCCCCAACGCAGCAAGCTAGCTACTGGAAGAGCAAGAGTCACCTGCACACCAGGACACACACCACTACAGTGAATAAAACGCAACTAACACCTACGTGCAGTGTGATAGTGGCGCTTACACACTGACCAAACGTGTCAGAGCACACAACTTTAGCTTCTCCTCCTGATTTCAGGGTATTCAGCCCCCTGACCCGAATCTTAACACAGCAGCGTTAACAGGGCAGTTGAGATTCTTTTGAGAAAGAGGATTAACTGCGGCGAGTTTTACAGCAAAATTCTGCAGTTGCACCCCGGCAGAGGGCTGGCTGCTGTGCTGGCCTTTGGCTGGTGCTAAGTAGCAACACGGGCAGAGGGACTGAAGGCAATAGCCCTAGCCATCCCCCATTTTAAATCGGGCATCATGGAGAACAATTGCCGTGGAAAAGACAGCAATTGCTCAGAGATAACTGAGAAATGCGCTCCACTGCTTTCCAAAAGCATTTTGGCAAAAATGTTTACATTTGGGGTACTACAGAGGCTGAGCACAGTCAATCGATGATATTTCCAGCTAGAAGAGGAGTGAGTAAAAGAAACTACCTCATTCTATTCATGCAATACTGACAAGTTAAAAACAGCAAACCAGACAGGTCCTAAAATCAAGAAAATAGATCAGTCATGTACAGAAACTAGAATCCCTAAGACACGATAAAAAAACATTATTAGGAGACTTGGAATATATTCCCAGTTCAAATATTTAATTACAAAAAACCCCACTAAAATACTGCGTATAGTACAGACTACCTGGGGAGTGTTTTCATAGGGAAAGCTGTGGAAACAGAAAGAACATCACAAGTTTTTCATTTTTTATACCCAAAGTCAGTTGCACACTCAGAATTACTTACAAATAGCCTTGCTGCTGTTTTTGTCAGAGGCTGGAGATTTTACTTCTGGTTCAAGCTCTAAACAGATGAGAGAAAAACATTAAGTTTGGTACACATTTATTATTGCAGCCCTTCACCAGAAGTCAACTGCCTCATTTCTCAAAAAAATAAATCTGCTTTTCCAAATAGGTGAGCCAACTTAAGGACTATAGTTACCTGTAGATGGTCATTTAAAATCCTAACCACTGCATAATAATCACACTTCTTTAAAACACATGCGACAGATATTTCACCACTGATACACAAGTCCATTAAGGCAGTGCTTGAACCCACTGAATCTACCTACCTCGAAAAACCCTCCAGCTTGTCCAAAGTCCAAAGCAGCAGAGAGTAGAAAGAGGAGGTGCAGAGTATGTGAGTGTAACATTAAGTCAATAAACAACAGAATCAGTTACTACAGGATAGAAGATAATTTCTTGAATGTTCAATAATACTACCCTGACCTTTTGGAAGAAATTCTGGCTCCAGTTTAATGCTGCTCATCCTAGAAGAAGCTAGAGATGCACCCGTGGGCACTGTGCCTTCAGCTGATGCTACCGTCACGAGTGTTTTAAAACTGAAGGATGAAAAAGGTAATGCCTATTTAAATACTCTTAAATATGGAACAAAAGGCACAAGGACAGTACTCAAGTGAAAGCAGTCTTTTAGAAAGGGGATAAATCTTCATTAAGCTTTCTATGAGTCTGATCACCGAGAGGAACAGCGCAAACCAAGGGCGTGCAGGCCATGGAGGTGACTTCAGATGAACCTCATTGAGGACTTGCATGTAGTTGAGGCAATACAATGGATTTCTGGGAATGCAAAGACACAGTCCCATGTGGGGGATCTCAGCTGGACTGAGGCTCCTGAACATGACAACTTTGACCTTGAGAGGATTCCAGTCTACCCACGAGAGAACAGACAGAAGCAAGAAGAGCTGCAGCTGCAAGATAAGCAAGTCCTGAGAAAGTGTCGGCTACAAGACAAGGTGTACATGTCGTTTTGGCAGAATGCATGATTGCGTGTATGGAAATAAAACAGTATATAAGACGCAGCCGAAAGTTCAATAAACAGCTTTTGCTTGAAATCATATTGGTTGGAAGGCAGAGTCCGTCCTTGCACGACTACAATTGGTAACCCCGACGTGATACCGATTAAGGAGGCTTGATCGCACATCGGAGGAAGGCAAGGGGCCGGTCAGGGGAGAGAAGACGATCTTCTCCAGGCGTCTGAGAGACGGGAAGTGTGCACACAAATCACCTGGGAAATTGCAGGTGGGTGACCGGGAAGAATAAAAATCCCTCTAAGAGGGAGAAAAGATTCAGGAGATACTACTACATATACTCTCTAAGAGAGATGTGAAGATTGATAAACAAACTGTGACTAAACTGTTGCATTGGGGACAAAGACGGGGATTTTTCAAAACCCCAAACGATGTCTTTGAATCTGGAATATGGGCCGATATGGGTCAGGTCTTGTGGGACTCGGTCGGCGCTGGCTCAAAGGAAGCAGCTAATCTTGCTCCCATCTGGAGACAGATTAAGACTGTTTTGGAGGATATTAAAACAGAAAAACGAGTAGTGCTTTCGGCACAGCAGGCTTTGACCCCAAAGGCTGAGGCTCCTAATGAGTTGCGAGCGTATCC